CCCCCCGCCTGTCTGCTCGGGCTTTGACCTCCGCAGGAAGGGGAAACACAGGGGCGGCGGCGGGGACGGGGGAGAAGACGCAGAGACGGTTGTGAGGAGCTTCAAGAGACAAAGGATGGGCGGTCGGGGGGGAGGGAGAGGTGGAGGCCGTGGAGGAAGAGGGAAGCGGCGATAAAAGGACAAGACGATAGAGCAATACAAGAGTCACATCTCGGACTTTCTTTTTTTTTGTGCGGGGTAGTTCCAGACGTGTGTGTTGTTGCCGATGAGTTTTGTGGTGTGGCGGTACTTCAGAACAAGCTGCCGAGGCGGCTGTTATTATGGATACATCGCCAGAGAGGTAGGGTAGCCACGGCAGCGCCCGGCAATTAAATTGGAGCGGACCAGCGGGCAGTCAGCAGAGCGACACACGGCAGACTCGTCTCTTTGGCCTCCCTTACATGAAATTTTGTCCGTAGTTCTGCCGACAAGGTGGCAGCCCCCCCCCCCCCCCCCCCCCCCCCCCCCCCCCCCCCCCCCCCCCCCCCCCCCCCCNCCCCCCCCCCCCATGACACAATTACACCGTTCGCAGCTGTGTTGCACACGGAGATGGTTTTGGCCCGGACTCCCAACTTGGAAATCACCTCCTGCTTGCCTTATGCGGTAGTCGGTGAGTTCTGTTGTAGTTGGCGTTCCAGCACCGGTGTTGCGTGGTCGGTCGGAACCCAGTGTTCCGAGGGACAGCCCCCAACCAGGTGTTTCTTGTTGCTGTTGACCCTTGTCCTGATCGTCGAGGCTGTTCTGTGTACTTCTGTTGTGCTTCGTACATTCAAAAGTTTTTTGAGATTTTGACCTCTTGATTTCCCGCTATTAATAGCTTGATATGTCCCCGCCGCCTGTGTAGCGGTGGGAGAGAGAAAGCAGCTGATCATCTCTCGTGATGGGTGGGGGTTTAGATGCGAAAAACGGTGTTGCGGGGGAGGGGTCGATGAAGGAAACAACCCCTCAGTTGACCGCTTTTTTGGGGTCCGGCAGGCGGGACCGGACGAAGAAGCGAAGAAGGGCATGTGTGTTGCGGTGACGGTTGCGTTGCAGAAATGACTAAATTAGTATGCATCTCAGCAATTGAGTGTGGATCGTCTTGGAGCGTGGGGTCTTGGACGCCTGCTTATTTCCACAAGCGCCTCCAATCAACTGTGGACTCGTGCACAGTGTCGCACATGACTGCTGTTCTTGTTCACACCGTTAGCGAAGAACATCAACACGAGTTGTTCAAACCCTCTTTGATTGTTTTGCCTCTTTACGGAGCACGAACACTCACTGCCGCTGTACGGAGCGGGAAACTCACCGCCGCTGTGTCTACAGGAGTGTTACATATCTCCCACCACGGGCAAGGAAGTAAACTCCTTCTACCGAAGAGCCTACCACACGAGCAGCGCACTCGTGACTAAATCAATCTGCAAGGGGAGGGAGTTTACGCGCTGAGGATTGCGCAGTTGCTCATGTAGAGAAGGCGAGAACGACGCCATCGGCACACAGTGCAAAATATGACATTACCACGATGAGTGAACGTCTCCAAGTTAAGGTAAGCAAGCCCCGTAGCAACGAGTGGACGCCGCGCCTCGGGCCTCTCACTCCAAAACCTACGTAATTCACAAGTAAGCCATGTGCCCCCGCTTTAAGCAGCAGCGTGCTAGACAACAAGCAGTTGACCAACCAACCAATCGGTCCAGGAATATCGGAGGTTGGAGATTTATACCTTTGCTCTCTATGGTATGTATCTGTAACGTTCAGTCTTCTGCCTCTAATCTTCTGCCTCTAACCGCCTAACTCAACAAGTGTACGACTGACAAACAACTGGACGACAAAGAACGAAGAAGTAACGACGACGTAAAATGATGCGCATGTGAAACAGAAACAATGAATACCGTCCACGTTTGGAGCCGCAGGGCCAGGAGGCCACAAGTCTCCCCGCTGCCCTATGAGTCTAACTGGCTTACGGTTCCAAGGTGTTGATAAACCCCAAGAATATCCCTCCCTCTACATGGACCTCCCACAGAAGGGCCCAAGACATGCTCTACACGGACCGGAGGTTGTACCTACAGTAGCAAACCACAGACAGACACGAACGAGCACAGACGGGTGTGTCTATTCCTCACAGCTAAACGACCGGTCCAAGCAATCAACAACGCCGAACAGCGCGAAAAACAGCAACAACAAAAACTAACCCCCCTTCAACTATTGAAAGTCTATATATTCCTAAAGAAATGGTGATTCCGTTGGTGTACCTTGTGCTTGCCCTCTGGCGCTCAAAAGAGAGGACGACACCAACCCCACAGCAAAAATGCCACCGAACGCGATCCATCCGCCGGTTCAACGGCAACTCATCTTGCCGTACGTAGCACAAAGCGCTGCGCCGTTTCACCGAACCGCACTGCTGCGCACCACTTCCGACTGAAGAAACAAGCAAAGAGCAGCAGCAGCAGCAGTTCCACCTGCCGCTCTATTGGTTCACAAAACCCCACGCACTACCAAAAAAACAAATCACCCACCACGACTATTCGTTTGTTTGTTTTTGTCCACATACGACCACGCGAGAAGGAGTCTTATGGAACGGACTCTCTGCGAACCACAAGAAAAGAAAAAGCACGGCATGTCCGCTCTTGTCTATCTAGTCGTACTGCTTGTTGTTCGCACAGGGAGGGGTGGGTGCTGCGCACACATACCCGACGGAACCACCGATCGATGCCACGCTTATAGCACACGAGAAAGAGGCAAGCAATACGGCAAGGATTCCGGTCCAGCCTTGTACAGTACGCAAAATGTCCAAAGCTCTGGCCTAGCCACAGGCGCGGAGGAGGGGGGGGGGGGGGCAGGAA